GGGGGGCCTCTACGTACGTGTAGTGCTGCGGTTTCTCGGGCTGTGCCTGCAGCACCTGAGCGGTGGCGGCCGGGGGCGCCGAGGAAGCTGCGGAGCCGCCGGGCCCTGGGCCCTTCGACATGGTCCTGTCTTCCTGCCTCTTCGCCGCTCCCCTTTTATTATTCAGTCTGCGCGGTCCGCGCCGAGGCCCCAGTGCGCCTGCGCCGCGCCACGAGAACGTGAAGACCCCCCGCACGGCGGCAAGGGTTGCTGGGAGTTGTGGTCCCAGGTTCGGCTGGAATTTTACCGTCAGCAGAGGGTTGCTGCCGAAGGAACGGACCACAATACCCAGGGATCCTTGCAGACGGTGTCCCGGATGCTGAGGGCCCGCGACGGTTTCTGGGGATTGCAGTCCGGCTGCGTTTCTTCTTAACTGCGTCTTTCCAGGTTCGTAGGGGAGCCTTTCCCTGAAATTGGAGCCCCTGGAGTAGAAGAGGCCCAGAGCCAGGGAGGGTCTAACGACTGCTGGGAAACGGTTCCAAGTGTAATTGCACTGCCAACAGTGTAACAATTACCTCGCCTCCATACTTAGCACACCCTGGGCTCGGTTCTGATGCCGGCCCTGAGCAGTGGGCCTTTGAGCTTCAGGCACCTGGAGTCCGCCAACATCCTCATTCATGTAGTGGGACCAAGCTGAGAGGCGTGAAGTCTGCCCGTTGGAAGTCAGCTTAAGAAACCTTTGCTAACGAAGAGCTACACTACGCAATACTCCGTTCCTGCGCCTTTGCTGAGGCGCTCCGTAAACCTTTACCAGCCCTGAAACCTGGAACTCCACGACTTGGGTCCCTTCTCAACTCGACACCTGGCTTGACCAACTTGTTTCCAGTACATTAAGGGCCAAGGACGAATTTAATCTCCGTCTAGCATAGTCTCAGGTACACTGGCAAGTTGCAGGGGCGTCGAGAAGCATCACAGTGTCCAGAGGAAGGGCCTGGGTTTGAGTAGGGAGTGCGATTTGTAATCCACTCCAGTTTCCTGCTGCGGATGCCAGCGCTTCTACTGGTGAAAATGTCTCCTCCCGGCTTCCCGCCAGTTGGGCGAAGTTCTTCACAGATATTTTAACACTTGTTATTTAACTTTGTTTTCCATATTGAAACTATTTAAAACCATTGTTTTACAGACTAATCTACAGTTTATTAGATAACGTTAACTAATGTTAATCTCATTAAAGAAACACATTCCGAATAACGAATAACCTTACCAGTGAAGCAGGGTGGGGTGAATGGAAAATTGTTAATGTTTAAGACTGATACATATCTATTTTATTTTGTTACGAGTAACGTCACATCAGAAGCCAAATTGTCAGCCTACAAAGTTGAGAAACTGGTATTTCTTAAACATGTCAAATCAGTTGTTTAACCACTAGGGGCGTTTGAAGATGAAAAATTCGAAAAGGATAAAAAAGTTGTGTATTGCTTTACTCCTATTATTAAATCCAAATAATTGGCATATATGTTATCCCCAAAATACCCAAGTGTGATTTGAATGAAGAAATATAGTTAAGAGTGCTAGATTTTAAATAAGGGTATACCATGAGCTTCAGGATAAGTGTGTACTACTGGTAGAATTGGGAGATGATACCATCCAAACTGCTTAATTTACAGAAGAGGAAACCAAAACTCAGAGAGGTTAAGTAACTTCTGCGAAGTTACTCAGCAAGTCTGACAGAACAGGAACTAGGCCAGTAGCCTACATGCTGCATCATTTTTTGCATTGTATTAACATTTTCAGTTGTTCCCTATTTCCTGTGTTGCTTTTCCTCCCCTGCGTCCACTTAGGAAAAAGAAGAACATAGCGATAAGACGGCCAAGTAAGAGGGACAAACTGTTTCCACTAATCATCCTTAAATGGATGCATGTAAATTCATACCTAGTTTCTCCTGGAGCAGTTTTAGTTCCTCTGTAGTAATTAGCAAAACTGGGGACGGGGATGGGGGGCGCGGCAGATAACTAGACTATTTCTCCTATAGAAAGCATGGGACAGACAGGGTTCTGGATCTCCTAGAAAAGCCTTGGAACACAAAATGGGTGTTAATTCAGGAGCCCATTCTTTCTCCAGGCCATCTGAGCAGTCAAAAAAAAGATGACAGGGTATTTTTCTCCCAGGACATTTGACAGCCTCTTATGTGAGATGTAACCAGCGCCCTGTTTCTCGGCTTTACCCAGGTTCTGAGAACAGGGCATCTTGGTTTGTCTTCTCAGTCTGGCATGAATGAAACAGCTTAATTTTTCCCCTACCCTAAACTTTGAGCAGAAGGCAGAAAACTAAAGTTGATTGAATTATCACATAAAAGTTTAGAGGTATAATAATTAAATACATACTGTGCGTGTTATGATTGAGAGGGCAGAAATAACGAGAGGAATTTGGAAATAGAGGTTGGGTCAAAGGTGTTTTTTGCCATAGCTGCTTTTTCAAACTGCATTTTTTTTCTCACTATTGATGGTGAGAGGGGGAACTCTGGTGTCAGGAGTAAATTTTTGAGGTATTTGTATTTATGTATAATAATTCTCTGAGTTGAAATCTATATGTACCTGGTTTTGCTGCCTTTTTATTTTAATAATTTAAAATATTCGGCGAGGGACTTCCCTGGCTCTCCAGTGGTTAGGGCTCCGCACTTCCACCGTAGGGGGCGCGGGTTCCATCCCTGACCGGGAGCCTGAGATCCCACATGCCGCACGGCACGGCCAACGAATAAATAAATCAGTTCGGTGAACCCAGAGTAAGAACTGCGGAGTAGAATGCCCAAGGCTCTGTTTCAATTTTCTGAGCTTTGTTTGGCGGGTCTTAACCTTAAGCCTGCTTTGATATTTTATATAACTGAGTCACCTGAATAACTAAATATTAAAATCCACTCAAGACATTTAGGCAAAAGTAGGGATTACCTACCTTTTTATACATTTTTATACATTTGTCCTGTTTCTTCACAAGTAACACATTCCAGGATATACCATTAAATACAAGTGAACGTATTTAATTTAGTTGTCTTTTGTTTGCTCTTTATGGACATGCAAATACTGTTTTAGAACTGACTATTCCCATTCTGGCTGTAGTCATTTAGTTCAGTTGAATTACATAATTTTAAAAATATGTTGCTTAGTGGGTTACTTCTTGTTTAAGCATTTTGAAATCACAAAGTATTTTGTGATGGTCTAATAACATACAAAACAGTACTTCTAAAATAATTTATTGACATTTGTTTTTTTGTATCTATTATTTACCCCCCCCACCCCACCAAACAAAAGAACTCCCTTTTGATTGAAAAGTAATCACAGGGAATACATTTTTTTTTATATTGGAAAATATTTACAAAATTTTCGTTAAAGAAACCTCTCCTCCTCCTGCATTGTATTAGCTTGATGCAAATAAGGTTAGGCTCCTTCCCGTCCCGACTCTTAAGTCCTGATAGGGACCAGTGCAATTCATTTGCATTGACTTTCTATTGTAGAGCTTTGAAACCAAGGGAAGGATCCAAACATAGCTCCATTTTATCCAATCAGAAGAGCCGCTTGGTGCTAAGCTCTGATTCGTCCATTCCGCTTTCCATTTATCCAATCATTAGGCCACTTTAACAGCCAATCAGTGGTCTAGATGTCCGCCAATCAGCGAACGGGGCCGAAGCACGGCCTTTGTGTCGGGGGATGTCAGCGCGTCGGCGAAAGCGTCAGCCAATAGAAAAAGTCGTTGGTGTATGCAAATTAAGGTCCTATTACGCAGAGACGCAGCGTGAAGCGTGGGTATAAAAACGGAGGCATGGGGGGGCCTGGAACGCAGAGCGGTTTGGTCGTTAGTCGGAGGAGCTGCTTCGGTTAGTTCGGCGACTGCGGCTCTTCATTGGGCAGGAGGAGCGGCGCGGCTGTCGGAGAAGCGGCGTAGAACTTAGGCATTGGGTAAGTGTTCTTGGGTTTACGCGTGACATGAGGCCGTGTCAGTCGTTGGTATCGCGGGCTGCGGCCGTTGAGAGCCGAGTGCCGGCTGCTGCGGGCTGACCAGGCTGCTTGGTGGCTCCGGCGTGGGGACGGGTGGTTTTCCCTTGGGGCTTCGTTCCGGAACCATGTCTCCGCCTCTTTCCCGCTGGTGATTCAGAGGTCCCGACGCCGGGTTCCGGGCAGCCGGGCCTCCGCCCGTCGAGGAGGGGAAGTGACTCCTCCCCGCGCTCCCCCTCCCGGGGGAGGCTGCTGCTACTTGCAGCCTGAGTCATTAGGGGAGGGGGAGGAGGCGGCAGCTCTCGGCCATCTGCCGCCCGCCTTGGGGTGGGAGGAGGCGGGAGGGTAGGGGCGCCGGGCGTCCCGCCTCCCGCACCCCGGGAGGCGAGCGCCGCGGCCCCGGAGTCAGGGATTTGTTCCGTAGGTGAAAGAAAATGGCCCGAACCAAGCAGACTGCTCGTAAGTCCACGGGTGGCAAAGCGCCCCGCAAACAGCTGGCCACTAAAGCGGCCAGGAAAAGCGCTCCCTCTACCGGCGGGGTGAAAAAACCTCATCGCTACAGGTAGGCAGCGCGGCAGGAAAACAATGACTCGGCGGCGCGCCGCGAGCGGGACGCTTCCTGCTGCTTGATCAGCGCTCTCGGTTAACCGGTGTCCCTTTACGCCCTCCTCTTCGCTTTAGGCCCGGGACCGTTGCGCTTCGAGAAATCCGTCGTTACCAGAAATCCACCGAGCTTTTGATCCGGAAGCTGCCTTTCCAGAGGTTGGTGAGGGAGATCGCCCAGGATTTCAAAACCGACTTGAGGTTCCAGAGTGCCGCCATTGGTGCGCTTCAGGTGAGGTGGCCGAGGCTGCGTGTAGCAGGGGCGGAGGGCTTGCGCGCGGCTCTCCTCCTCGCAGAGAGTTAACAGTGTGGCTCTTGTCCTCAACAGGAGGCTAGTGAAGCGTACCTGGTGGGTTTATTTGAAGATACTAATCTGTGTGCCATCCACGCTAAGAGAGTCACCATCATGCCCAAAGACATCCAGTTGGCTCGCCGGATACGGGGGGAGAGAGCTTAAGTGAAGGCAGTTTTTATGGTGTTTTGTAGTAAATTCTGTAAAATACTTTGGTTTAATTTGTGACTTTTTTTGTAAGAAATTGTTTATAATATGTTGCATTTGTACTTAAGTCATTCCATCTTTCACTCAGGATGAATGCGAAAAGTGACTGACTGTTCACAGACCTCAGTGATGTGAGCACTGTTGCTCAGGAGTGACAAGTTGCTAATATGCAGAAGGGATGGGTGATATTTCTTGCTTCTCATGATGCATGTTTCTGTATGTTAATGACTTGTTGGGTAGCTATTAAGGTACTAGAATTGATAAATGTGTACAGGGTCCTTTTGCAATAAAACTGGTTATGACTTGATCCAAGTGTTTAACAATTGGGGCTGTTAAGTCTGACCATACATCACTGTGATAGAATGTGGGCTTTTTCAAGGGTGAAGATACAAGTCTTAACCACAGTGTAACTTACAGTTTCCTTATTAAAAAAAAAAAGTAAACCTGGCAGCTATAGAATACACTATGTGCATTTATAATAGCTATTTTATATATTGTAGTGTCAACATTTTTAAATTAAATGTTTTACATTCACATGTGGTGGGGAGTCTTGTCATTAAGGTGTGTGTAATATAGAGTCCGGTTGGTTTTCTCCTAACTAGACTGCACTTGTTTTTCATACGTAGTAAGATGCTTTGCGCATTATACCTTGCATAAGTCCTCATTCTACCACATGTTAACTAATCCTCTAGCTGATAATGCAGACACTAACGGGGGGATTTATTTATAAGGGCTCTAGAATATAATACAAGTTATTCACACCAGCATCATCTGTTACTAATATAGTAGTTAGTGCAGCTTTTCTTTGTGTTGTGGTTGGTCTCATAATTAGGTTGAGTTTTCCTCTACCAGGAGGGAACAATACCGAACTTCTTTTCCTTGTGGAGTTTGTATTATAATAACCCTTAGGGTAAACTTGCTGTGGGGGAGGGACACACAGCTTCAGCTCATGAAACCTCTGCCAGTTAAAATGGTGTCATCTGGTGTAAGGTCCTGGGAAAAATCACTTCATAGAGATGGCTTTCCAAGTGGTTTTCAAACTTATCCTTCTATTGAAGTTTTTAGGTCAATTATGTATGTTGACTAAATTTACAAATAAACTTGTTTATCCAACTAAGTGTCAAAAACCTAAATTGAATGTTGAAAGTTTAATACATCTTTTATCTAGGTCCTTTACGTTTATTTCATGTTTTGCTTGGTAGACAAAGGAAGCATTTATTTGCAGAAATATTTCTACAAAGCATGTAAACAGCTCTCTGCTCTGTAAAAATGCCATGACAGCTGTATATGCAGTGTGGGCTTAAGATTGTATTAATATGATTCTCTCCCCTGTCCCTCTGTTGTGAAGGAAAGTAAATTTCTTTGAAATTCCAGGACTCAAATTTGGGGTCTGTTCCTGAACCTGTTTGTGAAGCATGTTTATAGATCTCTTCATAAAGTGAGTTATTTGAAGACAAGCCCACAGGTATAGAATCTTTAGTCTAAGCCGCCTTTTCAGTATGAAACTAGTGTTCTTGACCAATGATGGCCACCAGTGAAGCATAGTAAATGTCAGCAGGACATGGGCACAAGAACCACACTATCAGACAAAAGAGTTCTGTATAATTTGAAGTCAGTAGCTGTAGGAAGTCTCTATGCTCTGATAAGACAGTTCAGTGGATGTTTTTTTAAGTTTGGACTACTTTCAAATTTAGGGTTTAAGAGGTTTAGGATTGGAAAGAGGCAAGGCAGATTAGGATTGGGAATCGGTAATTTAGTGAGCTTTTTATGAGGTGTCAAAATCTCATACAGTATAATGAACTGGTTTCCTAGAAGGTCTATCATAACGAGTTCTGGAACCAATTCTTAAAATTTACTTGCATTGTTCTTGTGAAGTACATTGAAATCCTAGCCAGTGGAATGTGTGGAGTGGGAGTTACAAACACAAGTAGAGAAACGGCTATGGTGATGCGTCTCCTTGAGTTACCACTCAAGCTAGAGTAGGTGACAGACTTTCTCACGAAGTCTGCATCCCAAGGTAGGATTTTACTGGGCAGCTTGGAATCTGCTAAAATAGTGCAACTTACACTTCCATACTTTTAATTTTTAAGCCGACAGGCAGAAATATTTTCTGGTTCTAGGGAACTGCCCACATGTTATAATATCCATGGGTTAAGATGGTAGACCAGAGTCTGAGGAGAAAAGCAAGCAAAAATTGGAGCTGATGAAGGCATCCTGTGCTTGTTGATGGATGAGACAAAAATAAAGTTTTTAAAGTTGAGACTTCCTCATCTTGTTAATGGTCTTCATTTGGATGATAGTGTTTTTCTTTCACAAAGTTTTGTAGGGGGACGTCCAGGAAGCCTTGCCTTCTGACTCAGCTGGTAGTTGGGGGTGGGGGGGGGAGTGCATTCCTTAGCTTTCCCCCATTGTTGTGTCCTGGGGCTCCCCCTACCTGGTTCCTTGCAAGCACTGTTTCTTGCTTGGTGTCAGGTGTTGGGGCTGGGGTCTGCCGCAGTAGGAAAGCAGGCCCTTTCTGGGACACTTTCAGGTAGGGCAGCAGAGAGTGGACACGGTCTAGTGAGCTGTCTGCCATTGGATCAGCAGGAGACTCCAGGGCTTGCCCTTAAGTGTCTACAGGCAAGGGCCAGCCTGCCTATGGGAGCAACAGCAGAAGGTCGGGGATCAGTTCCTCAGGCCTGTGGCCAACCTACCCTGCCACAGAGAAGGGGGAGGTGTAGTTTTCAGCACACCTTCTGTAGCGGTCGTCTCACTGGGTAGGCTAGGCCCAAGAGCCTTGAGCCTCCACCCTGGGTATCCAGTCCTCACCCCTACCTCCCCATCCCTTCACAGTCACCTCACCACGGCAGTCAGCGTATTTCCGTGGGCCCCACCTCGGGCGCTGATACAAGAACACAGCTGAGCTGATTGTGGTGTCTGAGCTCCACAGCCTCTTCCTTCCCTCAACCCGTTGGCGGTCACACCTGCCTCTGTGGGCGTTCCTCAGGGATGTCACCAGCCCAGACCATTCCATCGAGCTGGGCCTGGCTTCTGGCCAGCAACTCCAGCACAAGCAGCCAGCCTTCCACCTACCTTCCTGAAGGCAAGCCTGGAGGAAGGAAGGAAGGAAGAACTGATCCTTTCCCAGGTTGCTAACCCAAATCCCTGCAGCCTGCTCAGAGAGAAAGCTGACGTCCTTGGCCAGGTGGCCGGCCTTTTGGCCCCCTGACCCCTTTGGGTCGGCAGGTCTGGGGGATGAGCAAGGCTGTGGGCCGAGGTGGGTGGGTGCAGCTGGGACAGCTTTGCGCATATTCACAGAGGGTGTGCTGTGAGCAGGGATCAGAAGCTGCTGTCCTCCCTCCTGAGGTGGGTGGAGAGGTGCCTGCTCCGTTGTGCCTACTGCCCAGCTGCCCCTGGCAGTGAGGGAATCCCACCCCGACAATCAGCATTGTTCCAAGCAGAGTCATGGGACTTGTGTGTGATGTGTCCCCAGCCTGTCCTGGTGTCATCACCTGAGCACTATATCCAGTGTCCAGCCAGAGACCCTCCACCCCCCATTCCACCTACCCCATTGCCCTTCCTGAGAAAGAAGCTAAGAGGTTCCACAGACCCCCCTAAACCCCAGCTAGGGAAGCAAGGCAGGGGGCAGCGGGGCAGCTCTTCAGTGAGGCCGTGACTCTTGGAGGAGCTAAAAGGCCACATGGGGTCTGGAAAGGGGCACAGAGGGGTGTGGTTGGGCAGTCAGGGTCTGGGGTCTTCTCTCTGGCAGCTACCAACCCCCCTTCAGGGAGCTGCAGTTCTGGGAACACACAGTGGAAGGGAGAGTGGGCTGAAAAGAAGGCCATCTCCAATTCACCAGCACCAGCGGCAAGAAGGGCTCTGGGGAAGGGAGGCTGGCGGGCTGCAGGCTTCGGGCTGGCCGCCTCTGGCTGAGGGGTGTGTGAGGGACCGCACACATCCGCAGGGAGATGGTGCCCAGGCTCTGTTAACCTCTACTCCCTTCCCACCCCCTCTGTCGGACACACTAGGCCCCAGGACCTTTCCCATAAGCGCCTCACTGCCTGGCACTGAGCCAAGAGCATCAGCAGCGGGGACAGGATGGGGTTGGATCCAAGGCCCAGCCTTCATGAACCTGAGGGCCCTGCAATAGTCCAAGGGCCTCTCCCTCCTTAGTGCCCTGCCTTTGACCAGCCTCAGTCCTCCTGCCCACCCACGGAGGCCTGGAGACCTGCCAGCTGCTGTGCCTAGGGCGAGGTGCAGGGGGAGAGAGCCGCAGCTGCATCTTGTGAGTCTGGATTTGCTCCCTGCCTAGCCATCAGCAGGGTGGTCGTCAGCCTAGAGGGCAGGAACTTCAGGGACACAGTGGGGGTACCAAATAAAGACGAGGCCTACAGCTGGCACCTCTTAGCAGGGCATCTGAGGCCGGGGATGGACAAGAAGCTCCCGGTGCTCCAAAGGCAAGATCTGAGTCTTGTCTGCCTCTGGAGTCGTGCCTGGCACACAGCACAGACTCCAGGCGTGTTTGCTGGCCAACCCAAGGCCCTGGCAGCCCCACAGCGCATCTGGCTGGATCTGCTTCTGGCATGGGTGGCAAAGAATCAGTCAGGTTCCCAAGAGCTTTGGTTACTGGCCTGGCTTCCAAATTGGGAGGGTTCCATGTAGGAACTGAGGCTCCAGGGGTCCAGGAGAGCAGCTGCCCCTCCTGTTCCTCGCTATGAGGCTGAGCTTTGGATTTTAACACTTCAGTAAGCAGAGGCTGGCAGAGCAGAGGCTGTAGCAGGTCAGAGTGCTCCTGGGGACAGGGTGGTTGCAGTACAACCAATCTCAGTATCAGACAGACCCAGGTTCAAGGCCCAGCTGTCCTACTTGGATGAGTTCCTTAACCCATTTGTGCTTCTTTTCCTCATCTGTAAAATGGGAATAAAACCAGTGTCTACCCAATAGGCTTGTAAGGATTTAATGAAACAATGTGTGCAAAGTCTGGTGCCTTTAAAACAGAAGTCCAGAGCACTGACCAATCAGAACAGGCACTGGTAGTGAACAACCAGTGCTGCCCTGCAGGCTGCATCTCAGCCCTGATACCAGGGTTTACCACAAGCTTGATATTAGTGTTATCAATATTACAGAAGCTGTTATCATTAATGTAGCAGAAGGGCAAAGGGGGCCCAAATCAGGAGATAGGTTAACCCCCTGGGAACAACAAAAAGAACCTCCCAGAATGAGTGAAAGGGTGAGCCATCTGCTGAGAGCAAACATTTTCAGAGACTGTAGATATTAGCTTGGGAGATATGGATCCAAGTCCCATCAGGAAACCAGTCTTTAACTGCAGCGGAGAGGCCGGAGCTGCATGAAGCACACAGACCTTCATTGCCTGAAGAAAGACTGGGCCCAGCAGGGAGGGCCCAAGGGCTAAGAATTGAGCGCGGGGACAAACACGGACTCTGGGAGAGAAGAGCAGCCTCTGGGACACCTGTCCTCAGTGGTGGGCCCGGTCTCGCCATGACCTGGACAAACAGCTTGCCTAGGCCACTGGGTACTCAGCTGGCACGGGTGGTAT